CTCTCACACTATTATCTCTTATTGGCCAGTGGCTATCGTGAGAATAAAGATTTGAAACAACAACGACAAGGATTGTGTTGACATAATTTATTTATACATTTGCATTGCGCTACATGTATAAGAACTCTGAAGTCTCGTCATGCCGCTTGTATTGGCACGAACTTACGCGGCGTGCAGTAACGAATTTCAATCACCTCGTGCAATTTCCCATGGCCTCTGCCAGGCTCTCCTGGCGAAGACTACAATAGCATAGAAGGCGCTTTGCACATAGACTTCTATCAATGTATCATAAGATAGTCGTCTATCATGCTGTGTGATGAGTGTTTTTCGTTAGAGGATCCATGGCTTGCCGGCCTCCGCTATTCATGCGAGTTCTGTATGAACAAGACAGTAACTGAGTTCGTGGACTGCCTGGCGGTAGGACTCCATCAAATCCATCAGCTGCATCGAGCGAGCAAGATGTTCTCTTCCTCTTGCAATAGGCTGACACGTACACGGCCTCTATCGACTCGAGAACGAGATTGACATCACTTGGGAGGCACACTTAACAGTCCGGCCGCACGCGAAGCCAGGATCCGCACGACACTCTGCAGACTTTCAACACAAGGACAAGGAGTGGTGGACAACCATCACGAGGACCTTTTTTTTAATTGAGATTTTGTGTCATAATAATTATGTAAGCACATTTGCTTTGCCCGTACAAGAGGCTTTTCGTTATCACGAGGACGCCTCGGCACCAAGAAGGCACACCTGGTTTACCTGATTCTGCCTGATGTTCTGTATGCAACCCGATGCTTTTTTCTAGGGTCTTTCGGAAGAACAGCGGCAAGTTTTTTTTCTGAGACTGGATAAGAGGTGTGTCCGATGCATCACCAGCCAGCAACCACTCGGATGAGTGCTAGGCCTTGGCGGATAATGCTCGAAAAGGTGGCAGATTCTGCTTTTTTTGCACCGAAATTGGCAGAACCATACAAACCTTATGGCGGGCAATTCCTCGAATTCTGCTCCATTTCTTTATCCACATACCAAACATGCATGAAACTTACCAGAAAAAGTACCGAATTCTGCCAATTTTTCTGCCGGCATTATCCGCCAAGGCCTAATGAGTGCACGCATCAGCCATCTTTTCCGTTTGATCAATCGTGATCCGTTGTCCGAGTCGACACGTGAAAAGTGGGACAAAAGTGTCGATATTTCATGTCATCTGGACAAAAGGCGTCCTCGGCAGGACGCAGGACATCAATTTTATCTCAAATCTGGACTGTCCAGACGAGGTCTGGACGGTTGGACAGTCTGCCACTGGTATGCGCACACAATGCCGCTCTATCAGCAACTCGGCATCTGCCCTGTGCTCGAGCGAGCAGAGTGCAAACTCCGCCTCCTAGTGTATCGTGTCCACCACCGGGAAGCGCCAGCAGTCTCCTGGAATCCCGCCTCCAGGTCTGGCCCGATCACAGTGCTCGCACTACAAGGCCCAGACAGATCCTGCCGGCAATTCTTTCGGCAAAATATCGAAGAATTAAAAGAGCGGAAATTGCCGGCAAAATCGGAGCAAAATATCGAGATGTTTGGTAAAATCGATGCCTGATACTTGGATTTCTTTGTTTTTTACCCGTTCAGCAGGATACACTGCCCATGACGAGATCATGTCACCGAAATATCTCTGGGATTCACTGTGGATCGACTTGATTTTGGAAGAATTTAGGGACACATGCGTTGAAACCCGTGTTGAGAAACCGACCCTGCGATTTTTATAAAACGTTGTACGGGAAGTGGCTATAATACACGTTTTCCCGGAGCAAAATGGAGCAAAATATCGAGTTTCTTGTGCCAGGCTCGGCAAAATATCGAAGATTTCGCAGCAACATTTTGCCGCAAAATATCGAGGCGACCAGAGCAGAATCTGTCTGGGCCTAGCTCGCACAACGATGGGCGGTGTGCATGTGATAGGCAATGCGCCTCTACCGATCATTCGCCATAGTTCAGGGGCGTGTCGATCAATATTAGCGGCATACCGCTTATGGAACAACCTGCCTGCTGAGCTGAAAGCAACAGACATGCTTCCCTGTACTCAGTGACCGTGGTCCAGCTTGCACCAGGCCCATGCAACGGTCCCTGCCCTAACTCCGACCACACAGCCTCACCGCGAATTCCAACTGGCCATTATCAACCTCCCATCGTATTGAACTCACCTCCTGTGCCTCCTCTGGTCGTTCCCGTTCTCCACCAGCGCCAGCAGTACATGGAATAGTCTTCTTGCGGCTTCAGCTCTTCTGTCCTTTCGCAACGCCTGCATGCCTGAATCAACCCAGGTATTCCAAAGAGAAGGTGTCTCAAAGGGAGTAGGTATTTTACTACTCCCTGCTCTTAGCACTTCACTCTGCAGGACTGACTCAGCTCAGGGCAAGTATGTGCGGCTAGCAGAACAACCATTGCAAGACCAACTAATTACTTGGACACTTGATGATGCGTTGGTCAGGCTATGCCTATACTAGGCTATAGTATAGGCTATGGCCCCGAGATGTAGAATGGTCGCTCGTGTCTACGTTGTAGGGAGTTGTGCGAACTCGACTACTGTAAAAGCCATAATTATAATATATAACGAAGTGCTAACTCTAACGAGTTAACAGTAAGTAGGCCTCTTTTACGGGCAAACAGAATACAATTGACAGTGGCATGGCGAATGATTAGAACACAACACCAAAAAATGAAAACAATTGTATGTGTGAAAACGCAAAAAACGAGAAAAAAACAAAAAAACAAAAAAAAGGAAAATACAAGGGCACTGTCCTGCATGCCCGCCATCGTATCCAAAACCTCACAGCCGGGCCTGAGCCGGCCCTCCGAGATTGCCAACTCTCGCAATGCATTCACAGGACGGTGATATGACGATCGGGCACTGCGGATGCACATGATCGCCGACCGCAACAATGCAAACGCCAGTCGACACCAGACATATGTCATTGTCTTGGCATACAACTTCGTGTCCCCACTCGAAATGAGGGCACACAGGCGCTTGACAAATCTGGAGCACTCTGGCGCACAACAACCGGCCGTGGTGAAAACTAGTGGAGTAAATGTCCCACGGTCCACATTGATGATGCGCTCAGCATACTGCAGCGAGGAGTTAACGAGGAGAAATCTGTCGTTAAAATAGAAATCGTTCTCGTACTGTACAGAAATCGATAGATATACCGTAAAGTACCGCCAGAGCGCCCCACCGGGGCCACCATCTCATCCTTTCGTGGTCGTATTGTGCAGGTGGTCTGCTGTCTGTAGGTCATACGACATGAACCTTGTACACATATTGCACGTTTTGCAGTCAATCCGTACGAGTGTGTCCGTGGGTCTCGGTCGGCATACCATCGTCCAGCTAACGAGCTCAGGGAGCTGGCGGTGGTTGAAAGCCGGATCTAAAACCAGTTGTGTTTTAGGGTAAACTCTCGCCACTCCGGAGACATATTTTCCACACCTGTGTACTATTAATATCTTCCTATCATACCCTGGTTTCTCATCATTGTGTTGCTTTTGCCCGTAAAAGAGGCTGTTCTCTATCTTGAAAAAAAACAACAAAAACAATACAATACAAATCACCTCGTACCTTCAAGAGGACACAAGCTAGCTCCACACAAAACCTGCCAAGTGTGACCTTATTACACTAAGATTCTCACATCGTACACACTTCGTTGCACTCTGCCATACGATTTTCCTTTCTCTGGCTGTAAAATCAAGGTTGGGGCGCTCTCGCGAGACGGGGCGCTCTGGCGGTACTTTACGGTACTGTCCTATTGAGCGTTGAGAATAAGTGAGAATCGTTACCTTTTACTTTGGTACACGTAACGTGACCAGTCAATTTTGGGAAATCGTTATAATATAACGTTATAATATAACGATTTCCCAAACGCATACATGTATATCATGTATGCGCTTCGTTATTTAATGGCTTTTTTTACAGTACTCCCTGCAGCCTGGTCGAGTCTGGCAAACCTCGTCACGTCAACACGTCAACACTGCTGCAACTTGCTGTCCCTACTCCTGTGTCTGTCTTGTCTTGTCTTTGGAGTTTCTGTAACGGCCCCGCTAAGTCCGCCGCCATTAGGGCTTGGCGGATAATGCCGGCAGAAAAATTGGCAGAATTCGGTACTTTTTCTGGTAAGTTTCATGCATGTTTGGTATGTGGATAAAGAAATGGAGCAGAATTCGAGGAATTGCCCGCCATAAGGTTTGTATGGTTCTGCCAATTTCGGTGCAAAAAAAGCAGAATCTGCCACCTTTTCGAGCATTATCCGCCAAGGCCTAGCCGCCATCATTCGTCTTTCACATGAGTGTTGCGTACAGCCTTTGAACCTAACGTATCACGCGTGAAATCCTTGAGCCTAAACCGTAGGAAAGCTCAAATCTAGTCACCTTTTCACTAACAAGGCAGCACATGCAGACAGCTGTCAGAGGGTCAGAGTTGTGACTTGCAACATAAGTCATTGGGACTTTGGAACTCACATCATAGCCGGGCCGAACGGGTAAAACGGGTGTACAAAACCAATGTAACTAATTACTTGTCGTGCTACGACTTGCTACGTCATAATTCTCACAGTCACCCACGTGGCTTTTGTGCTGCCCACGCTGCACTTTTCCGCAATGTTTTTGGAAGCACTGGCTTTAGCGTACGTAACGTCGTTAGCATATTGGCATAATTTGTGTAGTTCGTCAACCAGGCCGGGAGTCGTCAAATATTTGACGACTCCCTGTCGTCAACCGCTAAACCCTACAAATTCTCAATTTTTCGTACATCTACGCACCTTTCCGGGTACAGGGTTAAAGTTCTCCCGTACACCTGCTGATCCACGAAAAAGGATGCATGGTCCGATCCACCAAAAGGCAGAGTAGCTGGATACAGTGCATGTGGGACTCAACAGGGCCACAGTTCACGAATACGGAGCGCATGTACCATCGGCGACCTAAACAGAACTATCCAAAGAGAGATTGGAAAAGAGAAAAAACGATGACGGTCAGACCATGTACCATGTCATGGTTTTGCCGCAACCCACCAAACACTTTTTGAGCTGAAGCCAAGGCGTGCACGCGTGTGCTTCAAACTGTTCTCGGGCATATATCTAAAACAGGAGTAGCTCCAATGGACAACTCCGGAAGGGAAATCTAAGTGCCTCGGGCCAAGAAGACGTAGGCATCTTGTCATTTGCCTGCGTAGAAAGTCGGAAGGCGTACCTGTGCCAAACCACGTTGCACTTGTGGTGGAAATGGACAATGGAGAACATCAAGGTACGTTTTACTTCCAGTCGGGCGTTTTCCGCCAGCCACGGGCAATTCCCCAGCAGAAGAGTGGCGAGCGGCCGCCGACCATGGATATCATGCTGTCGCAAGCAGCCATGTTTCTCGACTACTACTACCCACAGCATGCGTATGTGAATGTACACACGCGAATAGCATTGCACCTGATCGACGACCAGGGCGAGAACATACTGCGGCTGCGTGACGTCAACGAGCTGACCAGTGGCTGCACGGTGCTGATAACTGTGACTGGCCCACCGGAGAGTCATCCCACTCTGCTCATTGCACACACCGTGGCCGTTCACAGCTACAAGTCCCCGACGTTCTGCGACTACTGCGGCGAGATGTTGTACGGCCTGATACGGCAGGGTCTCAAGTGCGCCGACTGCGGGCACAACTTTCACAAGCGCTGCGCCGACAAGGTGCCCAACACCTGCCCGCGCACCAAATCCATCACGGCGCCCAGCTTGGCGAGAAAGAGCATCTCGGAGAAAGTGTGCGACATGAGCAGCAGCACCAATCCGCAGAGCTTAGACTTGCCCGGCGTGTCGCCGCATCGCCCGTCGATCAGCAGCTTTGGACGACCGCAGTGGATCGACCGTGCCGTCAAGGTGGCCGAGTCGGAGGGCAAGGTGCGCCAGCACAACTTTGCTATCCATAACTACATGCAACCGACGGTGTGCAGCCACTGCCGCAAGCTGCTGCTCGGTGTGTTCCGCCAGGGCTTCCGCTGCCAGGTGTGCCGGCTGAACGCGCACAAGGGCTGCCGCAAACACATGTCGCGAGTGGTGTGCGTGCCGCACCAGTCCTCCACCCGGTCATCGCTCTCGTCCGACATGGACGTCAACGGCCTTCTGGCGGGAGGTTCGATGCGCTCATCGGACACGGAGGAGGACGGGCACGGCCATCGCTCGACAGACCTGGACGCCTCACTGACGCCCGAGGAGGACGCTCCCAACATTCCGCTCCAGCGCATCTGCATGTCGGTGCGCAAATCGCCGAGAATCGGCCTTCAGCCGGACATCATCTACTCCGACTGGGTGGTGTTCCGCAAGGAGGGAGACGAAGAGCTGTCGCTGCGGTACTGGCACCTGGACACGCGCGACCTGCGCATCATTGACACCAACCAGGCCTCTGACATCAAGGACTTGACGCGCTGTCAGACGCTGCCGCTCACGCGTATCATCTGCATCCGCGACGGTCCGTCCCAGGGCGACGGAACGCGTCCGCGGCATCACTTCAGCTTGCAGGACCACGACAAGAATGTGTATCTGGTCGGTGAGGTGTCTGCCACGCTCAGCACAACCTCTCTGGCTAAGTATGTCTCCTCCGGCACTCCGCCGGACGAGGTCTTCTGCTCCAAGCTGCAGACCAAGGCGATGACGTTCAAGGAAGCACTGCAGCGGGCGCTGGACGACAAGCGCGTTCAGTCTCTGCTCAAGCTGCTGCGCAACGCTCATCAGCCGGTCGGTGGTGCTACCAAGGTCAGCCAACACACACTGAACAACGGGACAGTGGCTGCCAGCAAAGATGATGGCCCTACAGGTGTTGCCAGCCTGACTGCATCGGCTGTATCGCTGATGGGTAGCGAGTCAGCGGCCATGCTGCGCGATGTAGGGAACATGCCAATGTCGGAGTCGCTCTGCGGCATCGTCTCGGAATCAGCCTGTAAGTCTGTCTGCCCCCGGTGCTTCAAGCCGCTACATGTACTATGGATGCTGCTGCTGCTGCTGCTGCTGCTGCTGCTGTTGTTGTTGTTGTTGCTGTTATTGTTGCTGTTATTGTTGCTGTTATTGTTGTTGTTGCTTAATCGACTGTTCTCTTGCTGCTCCTGAGTGGGTAAACACAGTAAAGCTTCGTAGAGCGACCAGTTTTAGTGCAACGACTCTACTCAAACTGGTAGAGCTGCCTCAACGAGAAAAGTAATAAGGAATGCACCCAAGCATTTAGTTACATGTAGTATCACTATCACCAATACCGTATTTCCCCGTAAGTTAGTTCTCCCCAATGACTTACAGTCCATTTCAAAACTATAGACGCGTACCTAGGCAAAAACCGTTATGCCAGCATCTATACCACATAAAATCTGTGATCACTTTGTGCATAAATTTTTCCAAATTGGGCGTCTGTTATCCAATCGTTTAGAAACTATATGAGAGTAATTGTGGAGCGGTCCTGAGCAATATTCCGAAAACTATTCTCAAAAAGTTCCAGCCATATTTGAAATATTTCAAAAACCCTACGCGTCTATAGTTTTGAAATGGACTGTAGTACCCCCCTATAAAAAATACACTTTCCACTGCCGAGGCTATCACCCCGAAAGACAGTCCCCCCCCCCCCCGAAAGATAGTAAGTTCGTACCCGTCCTACATGTACAGACACCGTACAGTACATACATTATATGCACGGACACTAGAGTTGCGCAGGCTTCCCACTGCGTGTCATTTACCCCCGATAAAAAAAGTACTCCCGAAAGTTAGTACTCATGTGGCTGCTAAGTTCGAAAGTTAGTACGTACTAACTTACGGGGAAATACGGTAGCTCAGTTCTCATTGGAATGGAACCTTTCAGTTCATATCAGTTTATGTAACTGTAACTGGATGCAGCTTCTCATGTCAATCAAGATAGCTACCAGGATAATAACTTGCACCAGTGTTGAGAGCCATGCGCTGTCTGCCCTTTCCTCCTGCACACGGCTGCAGCTGCAGTCTATTTATGTTCTGATGTGTAGCTCACTGTGCGTGGGTGTGGGTGTATGTGTGGGTGTGTGTGGGTGTGGGCGGGTGTGGGCGGGTGGGTGTGTGTGTGTGTGTGTGGGTGGGTGTGGGTGGGTGTGGGCGTGTGTGTGGGTGTGTGTGTGGGTGTGTGTGGGTGGGTGTGCATGCCCATGCGCATGTGTCTGTGCCCATATGTATGGCCGTCTCTCTCTCTCTCTCTCTCTCTCTCTCTCTCTCTCTCTCTCTCTCTCCGACAGCTGTTGTCCAGATGGATGGTGACGGCGACAAATCCGTCAGCCCTCGCCTGTTTGTGAATACAACAATTTCCGCCGAGGAAGACATGCAGTATCGTCTCGAGCACAGTAACATGAAAGAGAGGCCGTCCCAGGAGATGTCTTCTATATATCAAGTGTTTGCCGATGAGATGCTTGGCTCTGGGCAGTTTGGTATTGTCTTGGCTGGGGAACACAGAACTACTGGTGTCAAGGTGGCGATCAAGGTGAGTAGCTTGGTTTTAAGTTCCTGTTTCAGTTTCTCTATCTGTCTGTCTGTGAGCACTCACTCATCAGATTGCTCTTGTTGTGTGCTCCAGTTACCTACTGTGGTCCGTCTAACTGCCTGCCTGGCTGCCTATCTGTCTGGCTGGTTGCCTGCCTGCCTGGCTATCTGGCTGGCTGGCTGCCTATCTGTCTGTCTTTCTGTCTATCTGTCTATCTGCCTGTCTGCCTGTCTATCTGGCTGGCTGGCTGGCTGGCTGGCTGGCTGGCTGGCTGGCTGGCTGGCTATCTAGGTGGCTGGCTATCTAGGTGGCTGGCTGTCTATCTGCCTTGTCTGTCTGCCTGTCTGTCTGTCTATCTGGCTGGCTGGCTGGCTGTTTATCGGCCTGTCTTCCTATCTGTCTGTCTGTCTGCCTGTGTATCTGTCTGTGTATCTGTGTATCTGCCTGTCTGCTTGTCTGTGTATCTGTCTGTCTGTCTGTCTGCCTGTGTATCTGTCTGTCTGTCTATCTATCTGTCTGCCTGTCTGTGTACTGTAAATATACAAATTTTCGGCAGCTATTTAATTTCGGCTATATTCGGCACCGACCCGGAACGCCTAAATTAAAACGCCAATGAAATTTTTCACAGCATCTGTCGCACCATGCCCTCTACCCCACGCCGAAAATAAATCGCCGCCGAAATGTCAAAAATCGTGAAGTGCCGAAATTTTGCAGCGCCGAAATTTTGTATATTTACAGTATCTGCCTGTCTGCTTGTCTGTGTATCTGTCTGTCTATCTGTCTGTCTATCTGTCTGTCTGCCTCTCTGTGTATCTGTCTGTCTGTCTACCTGCCTGTCTGCTTGTCTGTGTATCTGTCTGTCTGTCTATCTGTCTGTCTATCTGTCTATCTGTCTGTCTATCTGTCTATCTGGCTGCCAGTCTACCTAAGCTAGAGAAACCATCACAGACAACAGTAGTAGATAGCTGAGTCCAGGAGCACATAACCCCCAAGAGTGTGCAACTCCAGCTATGGGGTCTGCGACAGCAGAACTTCACATCACGTGATGAACCCGTACACATCATTTGCACCCGGTGCATGTTACATACAGGGTTGCATGCAATCCTGCTTTGGGTTCAACTCTCTTGTGGTCACTTTACACTGTTTGCCAGAGTAACCTTTTGAACCATGTCACGTGATGTGAAGTACTGGCGTCGTCGCAGCACTGTATAGAGGTTGTGTAGGTAGTTGCACACGCTTGGGGGTTATGTACTCTTGCTGAGTCACCCAACACAACAGGAGCACTGAAGACTTGATACCAGGAGTATATAACCCTCAAGAGTGTGCAACTCGACTATGGGTGCTGTCCCGACAGAATTTCAAGCTGACGTCATTTTTATGATGCAATGTGCACTGTACACGTATTATCAGACGAATCCGTAACCTGTGGTGGACCAAAGTCCATCTGATGCTGTACAAATTATTGCAAAGAAAAACGTGTGATGCTTGGCACCCGTACATATGTTGTAAATCACTGGTGCCAGGAGCATTGCATCATAAATAATGACGTCGACTTGAAATTCTGTCGGGACAGCAGGGTACGTGGGAGTTGCACACTCTTGGGGGGTTATGTACTCTTGTTGATACTGACAACTGTTGCCGTTGCCACCATATTGGTGTGCTTCAGAATAACCCACAGTACTCCGGGTCCCCTATGACATATCTCACTTTTCTTCTTCTTCTTCTTCTTCTTCTTCTTCTTCTTCTTCTTCTTCTTCTTCTTCTTCTTCTTCTTCTTCTTCTTCTTCTTCTTCTTCTTCTTCTTCTTCTTCTTCTTCTTCTTCTTCTTCTTCTTCTTCTTCTTCTTCTTCTTCTTCTTCTTCTTCTTCTTCTTCTTCTTCTTCTTCTTCTTCTTCTTCTTCTTCTTCTTGGTTGGCGGACAGCCACCCAGCGAGGATAGTTGGGTACCCTTCAAATCTTGGTTTTAACACGCCAAACCGGCTTCTAAAGGGCCGGGGGTGGGTGTTCGCCAACCAAGTCGAGCTTTCGTTCGTTTTTTTCGTTTTTCTAGTCTACTTGCTTGTGCTGCGCCGCGCTGGAGCGAGTCTATCAGTAGATGCTTTCGCCGCTTAGAGCTACTATTGCACAAAGCCACAACACTGCGCGCTGCCATTCGCTGTATGCGTTCGCTGCACCAAGCTGCTGTTAAGCTGCACGACGCCACAACACAAATTCACCACAACAGTCTCGTCCACAACTTCACTACAACAGTCTCGTCCATATTTCACTACGCTGAGCACTGGCCTGCTCCCGCTCTGAAGAGCTTTTTAGCCTTCGCCGCTTTTGCTCAACCCCAGGCATTGGCCCACAGTGGCATCCGCTTCTTTTTTCTTTTTCTTTTCTCCTTTTACTTTCTCCGTCACTGCCTAAAAAACAGTCGAGACGGTTTTTTACCCACCAGTTTTTATTGGTGCGAATTACTTTCCTTCTTCTTCTTCTTCTTCTTCTTCTTCTTCTTCTTCTTCTTCTTCTTCTTCTTCTTCTTCTTCTTCTTCTTCTTCTTCTTCTTCTTCTTCTTCTTCTTCTTCTTCTTCTTCTTCTTCTTCTTCTTCTTCTTCTTCTTCTTCGCGTACTTCGAGTACAACCAACACAAAGCCATGTCTACATTGTGCAAAACCTATATCTAGTTCAAACATGGCTCGACATCTGAAATCTTGCCGGGCTTTTCAGGCCAAGGTCGTCGATGAACCGCTCACTCCAACCAGGAGTAGTAAGACGGTCGTTGCCACTGCAATCAGCCCGCAATCCCAGCACAGTGCTGATGGCGACGAAGAAGAGAAGTTGGAGCATGGCTCCCAGAATGTGCTAGACCACAAAAGCCCAGAGCAGGACAGTAGCAAGCTCAATCTTCCCAAGTCAAGCCCGGCCTGGGAAAAAACAAACACACAACTAGAACAACACATCACACGCCTGTTTCCATTGTCAAAAATACGAAAAAATGATCCAGACGATTCACTTGATCAGATTACCTCGTTCCTCAGATTCTTCTTCCTCGACCACACCATCTCAGAACCCACCCCAGAGCGAAGGTCGAAGAAGCCATGTCAGTCCAAATGCCTAACTGAGCTCTACATCAAACGCCGTGCACTGCGTAAGCAATATCGAAGGAGAGATAGGCTTGCCGTCCATGAGGTTGAGACCATCAGATCAGACTACAACCGTGTGCAAAAAGACATCAAGAAACTGAGAAAGATCATCCAAATACAAGAGCAAGACCGTGAAGCGCAGAAACAGCGGACGGCCTTTCTTAAGGACCCTTACGGGTTTGCAAAACGCATGTCCCAAAGCAGATCACGTGTAACACCAACTTTCTCGGAACAGGCCTGCTTTGAGTATTTCTCCAAACTTTATGAAGATCCCTCTCGTGAGCAAATTTTCTCGGATCCAGATTTCTGTCCAGCTACGAGTAAACCGTCCACACCACTATCTGATAACAGCCCCAGTTGGAAAGCCTTCCAGAACACTCTGAAAAAATGTAGAAACAAATCTGCAGCCGGTCCAAACGGTATTCCATACATAGTGTGGAAAAAGTGCAAATGTCTGCACGGCATTCTTTTCAATATCTTCGAGAAAGTCTGGAAGACAGGATCCATTCCGCTGTCTTGGCAGTGCGCCTCAGTAACGCTTCTCGCAAAAAGTGACAATGACTCTGACCCGGCGAAATTTCGCCCAATTGCCCTATCCAACTGTGACGGCAAGATTTTCTTCGCCATGTTGTCAAAAGTTCTGACTCGCCACATGCTGACGAATGGGTATTTTGACGGCATGACCCAGAAAGGCTTCTTGCCGGGTATGTCCGGTTGTATTGAACACGCCACTCTTTGTCACGAGGCCATGAAAGACGCCAAACGCCACAAGCGTTTGATTGCCATGGTATGGATCGATTTGAAGAACGCCTTTGGCTCAGTAAAACACAATCTGATCCAGAGGGCACTGCAACGCTACCACATCCCGCTGAAAATCAGGAACCTTGTTTACTCTTACTATGAGCGTCTGACAGCATTCATTAAAAGACCACTCACTCAGACCTTCCGGTACAGCATCGGCGTATTTCAAGGTTGCCCACTTTCCCCTATTCTCTTCAACATCTGTTTCCAAATTCTACTTGATTCTCTTCAGACCAAACCGATCCAAGCCCTTTCGTACAGTTTCCGTGACACAACTGTCACTGCTTCGAACACTGGATTCGCCGACGATTTAGCAGTCTTCAGCAATCGAACTCATGGTGCGCAGAAGAAGTTAGATCTGGTTGATAGTTTCCTTGCCTGGTCAAAAACGCAGGCGGCCCCTCACAAATGCAGGTCGTACGCAGCCAAATTGACCAACAACAAATACACCTGCTTTGACCCCGCACTCAGAATATCGGAAACTCCAATACCAGCTCTAAACGGCCAACAATTCAAGTTTCTAGGCAGGATGCTAACAGATACAGTAGGTGAGATAACGCAACGCGAAGACCTCATAAACTCCACAAGATGCCTACTAAAGACAGTTGCCGAGACAAGACTGTACGGACACCAGAAGTTGTGGCTCTACCAGCATCAAATCATCCCCAAAATAGCATGGCAGCTCGAGATACTTGATCTCAGCCACAGTTTCGCCAAACTCCTACACAGAATTTGCCTTCCATTCTTAAAGAAATGGGCAGGCTTGCCCAGACCCGCAGCACCAGCAATACTCTTCATCGGCGCTCGGGAGCGCTTCGGCATACGTTTAACGTACATCCCTACGCTATGGAAGCAACGACAGGTCATTAGATGGAATATCATCAAGAACAGCAGCGACAAGAACATGGCAAACCTGTACCAACATCACAGCAAACAACAGTATCTGCTCACAAGACAATACTCCGCAATAAAAGAAATGGAATGTGCCGAGGCAGCGATCTCTGAAGCTAGTCCAACTAACCTCCAGCAAGGCAGGGCAGGACTCGGCTTTAGGCATGACAAACAAGAGAAAATCAAACCTAGAAAACAAATACTCAATACCATTCATGAAGGTGACTGCCAAGACCAGCTATCCCACCTCAAAAGCCTGCAAATGCAAGGCAGCTGGTTAAAGTGGAGAGACACGATGTTTGAAGACCTCACTTGGAAAAAACTGTTGTACGAAGGCTACGGGAGGACTTTCTCCTTTCAACTAAACTGTGTATTAAACACACTACCAACAGTTGACAATCTGAGGAGGTGGGGTAACTCTGTGGTCGAACAACAATGCCCTCTATGCAACAGGCAAGCTACGCTCCGTCACATATTATCAGCATGTCCAACAGCCCTCCACCAGGGCAGATATACCTGGCGCCACGACAACGTACTGAAATGCATAGTAAAACTAGTAAACGAAACCATCCAAACTTATCAAAAGGCCACGGCATCAGCAGAAACGCAGAGTAAACAGAAGAGAATTGATTACATAACTTTCTGCAAGGCAGGAGAGAATCTCCCCAAACAGCCCCCCTCCCAACGCAAACGGCTAAATGACCAATTTGTAACTAGCTCAGCAGACTGGCAGGTCCTGGTGGACATGAAGGATGAGAAACTTGTTTTCCCCCACTTCATAGCACCTACAACCTGTCGTCCAGACATAGTGCTCTTCTCCAAAGAATTGAGAAGAGTTCTGTGGCTGGAACTCACGGTATGTAGTGAAGATCGCTTTGCACAATCGCGCGAAATCAAAATCGAACCCTATCGTCACCTTCATAGCGCGTGTGTAAGGAATGGCTGGGATACGGAAAGTCACACAGCAGAGGTGGGAGCGAGAGGCGCCATATCCACCAGCTTGGATTCCTTCGCGAGATCCTTGCGCTGCACTAAGGAACAGCGCAGGCTCTTGCGGAGGAATTGTCGCCAAGCAGCGCTGAACTCAAGCTATGTCCTATGGCTAAGGCGAAGGGAGCGAACATGGCGCGACTGGCCGTTGTATTAAAACTGTTTGGTGAACCTGTTGTAGAGCACTTGGTGGGCGATCGGCCACCCAGCGAGGATAGTTGGACGTCCTTAAAATCAAGATTTGAACTCGCCATTCCGGCCTCTAAAGGGCCGGGGGTGGACGATCGCCAACCTTGCCAACCTCTCGTAGTCACTTGTTCTTGTCGAATCGTTATTTTCATAGCCTTCTCGACATTCGCCCTACAAATTACCATACATCACAACGCAACTACCTGTACATGACACACCATACCATACGGACACAACCACACCCCAACTGTACTGGGGGCCTATCTCTTCGAATTGCATTATATGAGTTTCTTTTTCCTTTTTTCTTTACCCGTTACTGTCTAAAAAGCAGTCGAAACGGTTTTTATCCACCATTTGATGGTGAGCATTTCCCTTCTTCTGCTGCTGCTGCTGCTGCTGCTGCTGCTGCTGCTGCTGCTGCTGCTGCTGCTGCTGCTGCTGCTGCTGCTGCTGCTGCTGCTGCTGCTGCTGTGGTGTTGTGTTGCAGGTGGTGGAGAAAGCCAGCAACCAGACGGACGAGACCAACCAGCAGATGAAGAACGAGGCCAAACTTCTCTCCAGCATCGACTTTCCCGGTGTCATCCGTCTGTACAGCATGTTTGAGAGCGAGAAACGTCTCCTCATTGTTATGGAGCGCATGGACAGTGACATGTTGGATATGATCTTGTCTAGTCCGGACGGACGGCTTCCCGAGAGAACCGGACGTTATCTCATTTTCCAGGAAAGTGCAAGTTCATTTGCCGACATGCTATCTCTTTATTGTGTTCTGTGTTTCGTTGTTATCATGGAGGTGTGTGTGCGTGTGTCTGTGTGTGTTTGTGTGTGTGCTTTTTTGTGTGTGCATTTTGTGTGTGTGTGTGTGTGTGCGTGTGTGTGTGTGTGTGTGTGTGTGTGTGAGAGAGAGAGAGAGAGAGAGAGAGAGAGAGAGAGAGAGAGAGAGGGAGGGAGAGAGAGAGAGAGAGAGAGAGAGAGAGAGAGAGAGAGAGAGAGAGAGAGAGAGAGAGAGAGAGAGAGAGAGAGAGAGAGAGAGAGAGAGAGGTGCCAGCTAGTTCGGTTGGTGGGTACACTTATGCCTGATTGTGTTGGGTCTGTTGCCAACGGGCTCGGCTGCTTGAAGGTGTCATGTTGTACCTGCCACCGAAATTAAAGTTGCACCGAAAATTACAGGTTTTACAGTAAAGAAGTTCTGCAAAACGAAAATTCGAATGAAGTTTCACGACGGGCCTTGCGAAAATGTGTACGAATGTTCGCACAAACTTTGTGTTCTACACATTTTCGTAGTTTGCACGCGCCAAGTGCACGTACGCCATGACCCCATCTCACGAAACTTCCTACGAAAGTTCGTTTCGCGTTCCCTGCAAGTTTCGCGTCCAAAGTTGCGAAAGTTCGTGCGAAGTTTCTCACTTCATGACGTAGAGCGAAAGTTTGTACGCATTTTCGTTTTGCAGAACCTCTCTAGTACTCTGCTTCGCTGTGGTCAGAATTTAACTTCTGAGATCACCCCTTCCAATCCATATACAGTCGAATGTCACTTATCCGACCACTTCGGGAATCAGGCATGTTGGATAACTGAATATGTTGGATAACTGATAATAATAATTATCATTTTTTATGTGCATATATGGCTGGATTTCACTGATTTATGTACGCAATACCCAAATATATTCATGCATATTCCATGCACACATACATGGTAGCATACTTGACCACATCTACTTCAAGTAAATGCGTATTACAGACCTTCGTGTAAGAAAAATCCAGGAGAGTGAACAATCACTCTCGCTATCCTCTCAAGGAGAGTGGTGGGAGAGCAGTCCCCCCCCCCCCCCCCCAAAAAAGTCACTCGCCTTATCTATCCAAGGCGAGCACAATACGGGGTTTTTTCAACATCTTGCCATACCCCAATCGGATTCAATACCCAATAGCTGCCAAATTCGTTCTGGAAAATTGCCGTACGCACTACAAATGAAAGCTGTTCGGACCACAACTTTAGTTTCCCTTCATCAGGGACAATGACACACGCAATGGGAAATTGAGACAATTCGCTATGATCCATGGTATTTTTTGTAGTAATAGTATTCATCGTAGAGCGCTCCTTTCTTCTGTAGCTGACCGCTAAAGACCTGTGCCTGGCGTCACACAGGTTTATGCATGCCCGGACTGTCACGCAACAGAGGGAAATCCTAGGCTTTATGTAAAAAATACTATGATTGCCGCCCAAGTGCGGAAGAGAAAATTTGCAACGGTACGTAAAATACCTTGCGAGTGCCGTAACTCCACTATTGGACCTCGGATCGACTTCCGATTTGTTGGAGCCGACAGCTGAGAACTTTCTTATGCGAATAGACCTTTCGATTACTCGATTCCGTTCAGGGAAAGCCGAGTTACGAAATATTGAGTGTTTTCAGAACTTCATAGTGATGCGGATGCGCTTGAAATTCTCAAGGCGCGCGACGAAAAGTGCGCCCTAAAAGAAAATAAGGAGAGCGAAGGCGCGCGAGAGCGATCGTCTCCTTTTACCAGATGGTCTGGTATTACACCGTATAATATACAAAAAAAGTTTGTTTTTATTTATTTTTTAGAATTTTACTGTTGAGAGTCATAAAATTACCACTCCCGGGCTTGTCGGATAAGTGACATTCGACTGTACCACTGAAAGTACGTAATATTCAAGAGAGGGCTTTATTTCGAGTGCGGTGGTATGTACGAGTTAGTGGTGTGATGTGAAGTTCTGCCGTCGCAGACAACATTATCATACTCTTTGTTGTCGTTTTTCTTTTTCCAGAGGTGTTTGGAGAGCTCCGTGTTAGTGCGGTATTTTTCGTGGCATGTCTTACAGTATTAAAATTCGAACTTCACTTTTTAAAACTTTTCTATTGTGTGCACAGATCTTGGCAGCACTGCGGTACCTGCACAACAAATCCATTGCTCACTGTGACCTCAAGCCGGAGAACTGTCTGCTGACAGGTGATCCCGACATGCCACAGGTCAAGCTCTGTGACTTTGGCTTTGCGCGCATCATTGGCGAGCGCAAGTTCCGCAAGACGGTCGTCGGCACTCCGGCCTACTTGGCACCAGAGGTGAGTGGTGCCTGTCTGTGTGTGTGTGTAAAAAAATGGAAAAATGGAAAAATGAAAAATAGGGATTCACTGGCCAGAAAAAGTCACTTCAAACAGCTGTGTGGTGGATACCAGGCTAAAAATAGTGGCGGTCAATTCATCAGCCTTGCAAGCTGTTGAATCGTGTAATCCCAGCACAAGTTGCTATGTCTAACATAGCTGTTCGCTATCACCGCTTCCGCGATGGGCATGTCTGAGGTCTGAGGTGTGTGTGTGTGTGTGTGTGTGTGTGTGTGTGTGTCTTTCTCTCTCTGTCTGTCTCTCTCTCTCTCTCTCTCTCATCTCTCTCCTCTTCGTGTTCCTTTGCACTTATAGCTGGTTTCTGCTCTGACACATTTGACATTTCTTTACCTGTTTCTGGCACTTGCGTTGTGTTGGTTAGCCAGTGTGTAGTTAGAGCAGAGGGCAAAATGTCCCAGTCAGGGGAAGAGGGCGAATGCCCCAGGTTGAGATACTACACACAGAGTGTAGTCAAACCAGGAGGCTAATGCCCTGGTCTGGGTATCTACCCTATTCATTGCGTACTAGTACCAAGCTGGTTATTTGAACGGACATTTCGGTTTCGTTTGCATCGAAATACTTTGCATTAGTCTAGGTGCGAAGCAATCGGGATATTTCCTAAGTGGCTTGGCTGGTACCATAACGGTTTCTTATCGCCTTAGCAACGGGCGTTCAAACCCGCTGGCACCAAAGGTGGCCAGTTATCTGCTGGCGTATGCAATCCCATCCAGATTGAGATCAGTGTTGGTGATTTGTACGTCAGACAAACCAGACAACCATCACGAGCCAGTACTCACGGTACTGTTGTGTTCCGAAGAACTGGCGGTCAGCCTCCCTGACGTTAGCCTGGGCCGTTCTTTTTTCTTCTTCCTTTTCATGTATTACAGTCTATGCACAGTCTATGCACAGTCTATGCACAGACTATGCATAGTTGAGTCACCGTGTATACATGGGTATGCTATGCTTGGTGAAATTCTAGCCTGTTCGTTCTTCGGTACCCGACAGTACTGTAGTTCAGCTTTCCACAGCCCAATCTGCGATTCAAGAGCGGTAATAGATCGCTAGAAAATGTTAATAGCGAGTAGTTATCAGGACATTACTTAGCAATGATAAGGCCGTAACTCCTCTTAGCTGCTATATTTGAAGTTTTTGAAAGAGGTTTGGAGAGGTTTTTTATTTTATTTTGAGTAGCCAAGGACTTGGTGCGGCTGTGTGCGGTGGAAGCAAGTAATCGGTATAATCATTCAGTCTTGTTCTCTCTCTCCCTCCCTCTCTCTCTCTCTCTCTCTCTCTCTCTCTCTCTCTCTCTCTCTCTCTCTCTCTCTCTCTCTCTCTCTCTCTCTCTCTCTCTCTCTCTCTCTCTCTCTCTCTCTCTCTCTCTCTCTCTCTCTCTCTATCGTTCAATGTCACAGGTACTGAATAACCGTGGATACAATCTCTCCCTTGACTGTTGGTCAGTTGGTGTGGTGGTCTATGTGACACTAAGCGGGACTTTCCCTTTCAACGAGGGTGAGGAGATTACAGATCAGATCAACAGTGCAGAGTTCCTCTTCCCCAATAACCCCTGGGGAGACATCTCAGCCGAGTCGCAGCATCTCATCATCAACCTCTTGACGGTATGTGAACGATGATCGTTGTGTGCTCGTGTGTGTGTGTTTTTCTGTGTGTGTGTGTGTGTGTGTGTGTGTGTGTGTGTGTGTGTGTGTGTGTATGTGTGCGTATGTGTATCATGTGTGTCTCAATGGGGTTTAACTGTCAGCGTGGCCAAAACCAAAGGCATGGCGGTGAACACTCCGGCGAATACGCCAATGGCACTGGATGGTGGTGAAGCCATGGATTCTGTGGATTTGTTCACGTATCTTGGCAGTGCCATACACTGCGATGGGTTGTCCTCCCACGACGTGCAGGCCCGCATTGCCAGAGCATCCAAAGCCTTTGGTAGCTTGAAGCAGGCTGTGTTCGAGAACCGGTCATTGACTCTACAGTGTCGCCGTCGCGTGTATGTTGCCGTGGTGCTCTCTACCCTCCTGTACGGTGCGGATACCTGGACAACGAAGGCTCCGGACCTACGGCATCTCAACCTCTTCCACCATCAGTGTATAAGAACTATCGTCGGAGTGTCGAGACAGCAGCAATGGGAGACACACGTAACGTCCTCGGCCCTCGCAAAGACCGTAGGAGTGCCTGGGGACATTGGTCGCATCGTATATGTGTGTGTGTGTGCGCGCGCGCGCGTGTGTGGGTGTGTGCACGCGTGTATGTGGGTGTGGGCTTGCATGTGTGTGCGCGTGTGTGGGTGTGTGTGTATGTATGTGCGTGTGTGCATGTACATGTACCTTTGTGTGTGGTGTGGGTCTCGGTATAATAATGGTCTTGAGAGATGGAAGAGGCTAGCAGACAATGTTGTCATGCACCAAACAAATGTACAGTGTTTCCAAAGTATACTGGAAAATCAGAAATTTTCGGCGGTGTAATATTTTCGGTATTCTCCTAAATCGGCGGTTCGGTGGAGGGAAATTTTCGGTAAACCCGTTTTCCAGGTAATGTACTACTTTGTAGTACCGCATAGTATCGAAATTTTCGGTGCGTTTTATTTTCGCTAAAAATTTCGGCACCAAAGTTACCGAAAATAAGTCAAGTTCCAGATTCCGAGCCCTTTGGTCTGTGTGCCCGTGTGTATGTGTTCGGATGTGCATGTGCGTTTGTGTGTGTGTGTGTGTGTGTGTGTATGCACAGCTTCAACCACGCAAACGCTATACGACCGGCAAGGCCATGAACCACAAGTGGTTCGCGTGCAAGCAGCTGTGGGAGGACCTGCGCGCCCTGGAGACCAAGGTCAACGACCGCTACATCACACACGAGTCGGAGGACGAGTTCTGGAAGCGCGGTGGTGAGCTCATTCTGGATTCTGTCGACGGCGAGAGCGAAACCGCTTCGGATGTCGATGATCTGGGGCGTTGTTGCGATGGTAGTCTGCGTATCTCAGCAAGCGACCTCATCATCACTGACGATGACGACATGGATGAAGAGGAAGCCGAGGAGCTGGACGAGCAGTTGGCCGTGATCACCGCAAAGTCCGAGAGCTTCTTGTCCGTGGGAACGCCCGTCTGATGTCGTCTCACAATGCTGGCATGGCACGGAGGTGGGTATGGCAATGAGATGGCGGTGGTGTCGGTGCTAAGCGGCGGCTAGCATTGCCGTGTGGCACTCTCACGCACTCACACTCACACCAGCACACTGGTCTCTGTTTAATCAGTCTTGCCGGTGGCAGTGCACTGGTTGTGCCGAGAGGCCACATACAACCTGGTACTGCTCTTCCTACAAATTTATATCGACATATCCTCCAGTTACTGGCACTAGACGAGTATTCTAGTGTATGTACTTAATATCCCGATGATTTTCTCACTATTATTTATCTCAAATAGTGGACCCTATCTTGTTGCTCGTCGTCGTTTCAAATATTTATTCTCCCGTTGTTGTTGTTGTTGTTGTTGTCGTCGTCGTTGTTGTTGTTGCTATCATTGCTGTTGTTGTCGCGGTCGTCAGCGTTGTCCTTCCATATCCTTTAGCATGTTGTTTTTTTCCGACATCTCATGCTGCACTCCCCTCTTCTTTGCTGTATTCTGTGCTGTGCGCTAAAGGCTGGGAGCGCATGCATGCATGCATGCATACAGCTGGGCATTACGTACACATGTACTAACACACACACACACACACACACACGCTCAGGAATACTTACGCACATTGACCAGCTATCTCACCAATGCTGCGGTTGTACACACCACGTTTCTACCATTTTACGCACTCGTCACGTTTGTACGTTGAGACGGTACATCTATTCATATTCTCTATCTCTCCCTCTCCTCTCTCCGTCTTTCTCCCCCTCCCTCTCTCTCTCTCTTGCCGTTCCCTTCAGTACAAATCTTTTACTTTTTCTCCGTTGCTTAACCATTGGGCCTTTAATTTCGTTGCTCGTCTTGTCCACCCTACACAGCTATGTCACACACTGTCTGTGTAACTCGCATCCATTCTACTCTCCAAGACCAGTGCTCTCTGTGTAACTGTGGCGGGGGTGGTTTTGCACTGCCTTTACAGGGGCGTCGGACGGTAATTTAGTGTGCTACGGTCAGCGATCTGAAGTACAATTTACTTGTGGGGGAGGGGTGGCTGAGCCGAAAATTATGGAAATTTAGATCCCAGATCAGTATATTGTATTGATTCACGGGGTACCTGGGGTAAAAAGTGGTACGGTCAATACCGTAGTGACCATACTGAGTGCGACGCCCCTGCTTTAATAGGGGTCGTCCCTGAAACGAATATCATTCACTGGGGGGGGGGGGGGGGGGGGAGAAAGCCAAAATCGCAAGTCAACCGACACTGTACAGTCTACTTACTTCGCTAATAACGACTGCGGATATAACGACAACTCGCGAATAACGACAGAATTCCCGTGTCCAGAGCAAAGTCCCATCCAACTGCACTACATACCGTATTGTCTCTATTACAAGCACAGTCTCTTGTAGAAGCCCATTCTCTATTATAACCTTTTTTTTATTTTTATAAGTGCACACCAAGAGGGCTTTGAAGAGATACAAGCGCAGGGCGTATAAATTAAATGGAGAACTGTATGGATCATGTCCATGCACGTGAGACGTCACACAGTATCACATATATTGAGTCTTTTATTGACCTTTGATAAATAATTATTAATACCCACACACTCATTAGTGACCACACCATCAACAGTATCAAATTCATATAAATTTGCTTTGACTCAATAAACATCTCTGCACTTTTCCCTGAGGAGTATTTTATAAACAGCATTTATTGGCTTTTGAGCCAATACAATTTAATGCTGTTTATAAAATACCACTAAGGACAATAAATACTGTTTATAAAATACTCCTTTTTAGGGAAAGTGAAGGTCAACATAGTTATGTATGATAAATGTAGTAGCCTCAGGATTTATTGCAATTACATACCAGTATAAAAACCTCGACGGACCTCGGTTTTTATACTGGTATGTAAATCCTTCGGCTCTACATTTATTATATACATAAACACATGCTGTGGTAAACGTCTGTGATCCCCGAAATCTAAATTTCAGACTCGGTGTACTAGGAAGCACAAAACTGCAGTCCCGGTACCTGCTGGGAAACGTTGTGCTACTGATATAATGAAAAATAATAGGCAATGTAATGTATTATGTACGTACATGTACCAGCTGGTTGAACAATTATAAGCCCGCAGGATGGTGCTGGGGTAGGCATCGGCCATTGAAAACTGAATTCCGTCTGTTTTACGTGGAATTTCTTGGAGTTTCCCAATGTATTGTACTTGAATAAAATTCTATTTTACCTTTCATATGGTATCTCAATTTTTTCACGTCTACATGACTTTATTTTGCCCGTAAAAGAGGCCGTTACCCCGTAAAAAAAAAAAATTATAAGCCCGGTCTAGTAGTAGAATCCCAGTCTTGTATAAGCCCGGGGTCCGGACTGGTTGAAAATATAAGCCAGGGATGAATTTATCCGGTATCGCATCGCAGTTTGCTAACCAAAATCGATCTACTGCTACTCAAAAATGACAGTGACACGCAGAAAACTGCGATATATACATTGTACATATACAAGCTATCCATGCTTTTTGTAGCTTACGCCACAATTGAGATTTTGCACAGCAAAAACTGCTATGCAAACACACAACAGTAAATTCATCCCTGTAAGCACAGGGCTTACTGTAGAATGTCTTTGGGTATAATGAGACTTCGCGTACAGTGTATAACGACACTTCGCGAATAAGGACACTTTTCTGATGCCCCGCCGAGTGTCGTTATAAATTAAAGCCAAGTTGACAGTACATATACGCTACACGTGTACATGCATGCGATTTTAGTCGTCCAGCATAGCACGCTGCGTTCGTTTCAGAGGAAGGGGTACCGGGTCTGAGTACGAAAGGAGCGATGTTTGCGTTTTAAATGAACTGTATTGAACTGTATTTTACGACTCCCTGGCTAACGTCAGGGAGTAGTCAGGGAGTCTGCCATGACCCCATGCATTTAAACAGACTTAGCAGTCACAGCCTGACCAACCGTACCAGTTCCGCCATCTCTGCAAAGTCTAGTTCTGCCTTATTCGGAAGCTAGAGGCAAAGCCCGGCAAGGACAAGAAGATCCAAACTAGCGACCAGCAGAGGATATTTTTTAAATCAACGGGTTTAAATAGAATATCAAATTTGCAGCAAGCCTCGCCACTGCTACTAAAATTGAATAAGACAAGAAAGTGTACAAATAAGGACAGGGATAGAAATGTCTTGAAGCAACGGGCCCGGCTGTCCCGTGACGAGGACAGTGGTAGCAGCAGAAGTGCTACCCGATCTATGGGGCATCACGGTCAACGGCTCCAACGCCAGAATGCAGAGCATCTGCGAACAAACTGCCAGGATTGAGAGTGCGTGACTATTGTCGCCCAAGTGTTCCGTGTGCCTAGCTTTGTATCTCAAGCACGCATGCGCGCGCGAGCGTGCGCACACACACACACACACACACACGCACGCACGCGCGCACACACACACACACACACACACACACACACACACACACACACACACACACACACACAGTGGTGTAACTTTCCACAGGCAGCCAGTCAGTCACTCCAAGCACAGACCACCTACAGACAGACATGACCAGTGCTGATGCTAATAAATAAAATGCTAGTTGTGTAGTTCCTAACGTTACATACAATATACACGAGGGATGATCCTCAAGAAGAGGGTTCGTCTCTCATTCGTGGACCATCATTGCCACTAGTGCAGCACGTAGGCAGTGCATATACACGTGATACAGTAACACCACAAATAAAACTCTCTCTCTCTCCCTCTCTCTCTCTCTCTCTCTCTCTCTCTCTCTCTCTCTCTCTCTCCCTCTCTCTCTCTCTCTCTCTCTCTCTCTCTCTCTCTCTCTCTCTCTCTCTCTCTCTCTCTCTCTCTCTCTCTCTCTCTCTCTCTCTCTTTCTCTCTCTCTCTCTCTCTCTCTCTCTCTCTCTCTCTCTCTCTCTCTCTCTCTCTCTCTCTCTCTCTCTCTCTCTCCCTCTCTCCTCTCTCCCTCTCTCCCTCTCTCACATTTGACATACAGAAGTCTCTCGAGCTCAAGCTGCTCCAGGGGGTAGCGACGTGTACAGGCCTGTACCAACTCCTGGCTAGGGATGCCCAATGCCGCAGAAGCGTCTCGCGGTCATACACACACACACACACACACACACACACTCACATACATACGCACACACACACACGTACACGCACACACACACACACACACAAGTCGTGCAACTCGTGGGCAGCAGCTGCCGCACACACAACCACCACCTTACCCATCGCCCGGGTTCGGGGCACTGCAGCTACCGATCTCACACTACCGACCACCGCATAACCATAACGATCGGCATGCAGGCTCCAACCCCACGCATTCGGTCTCGCCAAGCCAAGCCAAGCACCACCACACTCGCATCCCTACAAAAAAACAATCACCTTCTCCTCATGTGTCCGTGCTTGCACGATACAGTGTAACAGTCAGGTATGCAGCCAGGATCAACATGGAGAGATAGCGCAGTGGCTCGGTGGCCGTGGTTGGATGCCTATTCGGACCAGTGTGCAGTAGGTAGAAGATAATGGCGGCAATCTTCTCGTAGGCGACAAACATCAGTGCCGACATGGACACGGTCTGAAGCAGTTTGATCTCAATGCCTTTGTAGAGGCCGGCCATTCCAGACTCCCTGCAGAGAGTGGAAGATAGGGTGTGGGATTGGGAAAGAATACAGGAAGAGAGAGAGAGAGAGAGAGAGAGAGAGAGAGAGAGAGAGAGAGAGAGAGAGAGAGAGAGAGAGGAAAAGAAAACCATCATGGACAGAGCAAGGGGGTTAAGACAGGAGAGAAAAGAAAATTGCAGTGATAGATTCAAAAGAATGCTTCCACAACCCTCTGTCAGCAAAACTGACCACATTATCGCGACCAAGTTCCAGTCAACGACGACAACAACAATAACACGCACACATATGCAGACATGTGCAAACCTGACTCTCCTCTGCTCCCACTCCCACACACAGACCTACACACAGACCTACACACACACACACATCGGTACCTGTTTCAAACGTCAGATACATGTATAACAGCTCGCCAACAACGATAATTATCTTCAGACTTTAATAGTAAAACGTTATTCCTGAAGCCGTGCAAAAGACGTTTCTTTAGTAGCGTCTGGC